TTGCTTTCAGTCTTCACTAATATGCCAGAGAATAAACTTACAGCAGTTAAACCAGCATAAATGCTACAAAAAACCCCGTCAATTAGCTCACTACAAAATAAACTATGTTGGCCCACCCAGCTTCTCCACATTTAAAGAAAAAAATCATGCCAGTATAAATTTGACTGCACAATGTGGTCTAAGTCTCTATTAAATCAGCAGCAAAGATTGAACTGTCAGCCATGAGTAGAAATCAAGCCCATATTAATATATCCCATAATTGATTTCATATAAAATAACTCTGACTAATTCTACTGATAGTCTACACTGAAACGTATAAATCAATGAATTGCAAACAGGAAAACCCCCACTATTTTTAAATAAATGAATAAACAAATGTAGTAACTGCTTGCCCTTCTATATAATGCACTGTTAAACCCAAATTTATGATGAAGTAGGCATTATGGTCCCGCTGCTAGAGTGCAGTCATATTCATAAGGACAAGCCTTAGAAAAACCCAATAATAGGTTCACTTCTGTTCCACTATGTTATCTTGCCCTGACTAACTTACTCCAAACGAATATTTGATGAAATAATTTTGCAAAATGGGGTGGGGAAAATGTAGAGCTTGAAGGACTAGTTTTAACTTATTATTCATTTGGATAGAAAGCATTGAAATGGCTCTGTCCTGTTGCTAAAGTGAAAGGCTGCTGCAGTTTGCAAGGATTTTATATGACCCCTGTACAAAAGTAAAATAAATAAAAATTGCAGCTTTCTTGCAGATAATTCAGTGACAGGGCCATACTTTATAAATACTCAGGGCTGTGTTTCTCTTGTTTACATGCTGCATACTTTCTCCATCTTTTTAAACAAGGATGTGAAATCTCATGCTGAAATAACAGCCTTTAAGTCGCCAGACTCTCTTGTCTTCTTTGCTACAACACACAAACACAGATGTGGAATCCACTAAGCCTGCGCAAATTTCACCATGTGAAATTAAAAGCCCAGGATGAAGGGATATACAAAGTTTCAACAAGCCATATTCCGTTCATTCCACCCTGCTCTTGTCAATGCATACCATTACCTATTTAGAGCACTTTCTAAACCATCACCCCACTTTCCCCCTTTAGCTATTCCTATGGAATAATGAATAAAGAGTGAATCTGTAGTTGCCTTTTTCCATGTTTCACTGAAGACCATCTTACTACCATGTTTAACTTCATATACCATACAATATTATATGAATGTGCACGTGTGCACACACACACATACTCCTAGCCCATGGTTCTGACTGAATTCTGCCCGTGGCACCGGCTGCTAGTCTATTTCCAGGCCCAATTTAATGTGCTGGTCTTAAACCTTTATGACTTGTGACCACATTACCTGAAGATCACCTTCTCCTGTATCTGTGGTACAGACATATCCACACACTTAACAACTTCACTGTACCATACTGGAGAATATTCAGGGTTAAACAGTTGGAGAATTCTTGCCTGGATAGCTTGATCTTTAGAGTAGGCGTTTTCATCCTGCACAGCCAATTGTGTGGGTTTTAAAAATCCTGCTCATTACAGAAACACACTAGCTGGACCTGTGAACAAACAAAGAAGTGTTTTCCCCAAGCCCCTGTGGAGAAATAGCCCATCTACAAACAACCCCTTTTCAGCATGAGGAAATGAAATGTTGTAAGGTTCATTCATTTTCTGTCCATATTTGATACTTCCAGTACCAAGCTATGCTTCTCACCTTCATTTCTGTCAAGCCACAAGAGACACATGTGCTCAGGACGGGGAAGGTGCTGTGACCCTTCTGTTTTCTGCAAAGCATACAGCTCAGTACTGGAGTTAAACATATGCTATTTAAGGTGCTTCTGGACAGTGCTTTTCACTGCCGTGCCAGGCCAGCAACCGGGAGGCTTGTTTTGCAATCCTCTTCCTAACTCCCACCAGTCACTGCTCTCACCTGCACTGCCTGCTGCTCGACATTTTAATGAGTGGCGCTCAGCACAGCTCATAAGAACTGAATCAGTGCACAGATGCAGATGGCCGTACTCTGAATCTGACTGGCCGTTCAATCCAATTGAGAGTGGGAGAGTGTTTCCTCGTACACAATCTTATTTGGCCAATGACCCTGGGCTTTGGGGATGCTTTTCATTTTTCTTTGTGGGATTCCCCTTTGAAGCGCAGGCTCTCTTCATGTGACACACCGCAGTCTACACCGGCCTGCTAGTCAAGCTGCTAAATTGCTGCCCAGAGATCATGCTGTTTCTGAACAACCACACAGCCATGAAGGAAGGGGCGGTTTTGAATTTTCTGAATCCACAGCTTCTTGACCAACCATTTCCACCAGGGATTTTTTTTTTAACCACTCAGCAGTTGGAAAAAGAAGATGGACAAAGGGGCCAAAGAAGAAAGAGAGGATCAGGATGCTGTGGATGAATCCCTTTGCAGCTCTAGAATGGTTAAACATATCCAAGTTGAAATCTGGTAGCCATGTCTGGGGGGACTGGAGGATGCCTGGTCCATCTTCCCTATGATGAGGTATCTGGGCCCTTTCTGTGACAAGAAAAGAACTGGAGAGGGGATCAAACTGTGTGTGTGTGTGTGTGTGTTTGTGTGCGAGAGAGAGAGACTGAGAAAGAGAGAGATCATCCCATGCAAGGTTTGAGGTGAACAGAAGACATCTAGCACCCAGTGCAGTGAAGCTAGCAACCCTTCTCTCTTTATTGCTCACACCGTTTCATTCAGACTTGAGCTCAGCTATTGTTCACATGCAAAACAAATCAGCTGACCTATCAAAATGTGCAATGCTGTCTGCTCAGCACACTTCCCTGGCTTGGATGCAATGACCATTCACACATAGCCTCCTTAGACTTCATTACAGACAAAGGGCATTTTCATCCATGACACTGAAAGTATTTCCTTTTTCTTTTTTGCATTCCCTGCATGCAAAATACGACTGCAAAGCCCACACAAAGTAGAATGCACATTCGGTTTAAAAACAGCTTCGTTTCCCTTACTTTCCCATTGTTCACACCTGTATACAAGTGGCACGAAAGACTAGACTGACTGCTTTGTGTCATCAGTGAAAATAGCCATACTTTTATAAAATAGTACCCAGAGGGTAAGCCTGATGCAATGGCTAGAATGTCTGGATAAAGCAAATCAATGTCTGCTCAGCTTTACGTATTCTCAGCCTAATTTATCTCACAGGGTTGTTGTGATGCCAAGCTTCTAGGTAGTCATGCAAGCCTTAAATATAAGTTGCACTGGCCTTACCAAAAAAAGGCACGAAAAGGTAAGTTCTGGCTTGCATCGGCTAATTTACATGGGGGCTTCTGTCCCTCCACCCTGCAGTTTTTGCATTTTGACTAGCGTAATTCAACTGGGTTGTGCCAGAATTAAGCCAAACTGCAGCAAGATCTTGGGAGTCATTTGTTGCAAGGCTTCAAAACAAGGGAGTACAAGCGTTTCTATAGATGGCCGTACTATTAAGCTGATGCTTGCAGGAGCTAGGCTGAAACAACTCTTTACGTACATTCATTATGAGAAATGTATAGAGAAGTCTTATATTTTTAATCATACTGAGATGCAGGTTGTTAATTGTGTGTGTCTGTGTGTGTGAGAGAGATGCCTAAAGCGATGAAGCTTGGATTAGACCCTTTGCAACTGACAGCATAGTGATTTCACACCCACCCACCCAAAAAATCCATGCATTATGACAAGTCGGCAATCCATCTCCTACAGAAAGGCCCCAGAAGAACGTCTGCATGCAGTATTTCTTGGCTACAGCTGTATCAACTCTTAATTCTGTATCGTGCAAAAAATAAAATAAAAAAGTGCTAATTTTCCCCATCTCCACCACCAAGGGGGGGAAAGGCCCTTCCTGCTCTGTTCCTGAAGACATGAAATGTGGGCAAACCTTCCTGACCATTCTATTGGATGAGGTGGTTGTTGTTTTCAAACCGTCAAATGCTGAATCACAGCACACACACACACACGCACTGCTGCTCCTAGTCAAGGCGCTAGCCAAGGTGAAACGCAGCAGACTCTTGTTTCCTCGGGTGCTTCCGAAGCGTCAAGGAACCGGGCGGCAAACCAAACTCTTTCGGTATTAGGAAACCACAGGGCTGTTAACACCAACCTCACAAACCACAGGGGGGAAGCTTTATGGACCGTCTCTGTCTCTCTCCCCCCCACCCCACCCCGCGATCCTAAGAAGAATGAGGACACTCCACGCTCCGCATCCAAAGCGAGCCTTGAACATTTCTCCTCGTCTGATTCTTCCTGGAAAAGTCTCGAGGCATAACAACCACCTCTTGGCAAAAACGCACACAAACACGTCCCCCCCCACCCCCGCCCCGGTCACAACTGCGCACACCCATATATAAGCACAGAGACTTTCCCTTCACTTCGCAGGAGCCTGCTGTTTTATTTCAGCCTAGTATAATCCGATTCTTAAAACCCTCCTGTTACTTAAACACACGTCATAAATATGCGATTCGCTGAACGCAGCTCTCCCTTCCCTGCAGCACGGCTGACTCTACTGCGCATTTTTCTGTATGCAGCATTGGAGAGGTGTTCCTCCTGCTAGAATTACACCTTTATTTATTTTTTGCATAAACCTTCGGCACCTACTCTACCTTCCAAAATTAGCACCACCCCACTCCCCCATCCCCAAAGCCTTCCCCTCCCAGATAAGATTACGATGCATGCACTAAATTTATGCACAGTCACAGATCTAGTAGAAGCCGGCATTACACATAGGATTCCATGGGAACGCATGGTGAATGCAGCAACATGCAGCATTCGCGTCTTGATGCGGAAGGTCCAATAAGCGTATTAAAAGCCTGTGCAGGTTGTAGTACCCACTCCGCTGCCCACCCGCCCCCCATACAAACCCGCATGGGATCTCCCGTACTGCAGTATTCTGCAGGGTCATTAAGCGATATGTGGAAGTCCAGTCCCCGCCGCCACCCCCGACTCTCGCGCGGATCCTTAATAACATTTAAAAACACTTACCTTCCTGGCACTTCCTCTGCAGCCCAGGATCAAAGCCCTTTAAACCCTCCAGCTGATTGCAGATTTCTGCACATTCGTCAGGATGATTTAACCACAATTACGAGAAGGTCGGGTGGGAAACGCTCTGGAAACGCTGGGGCAAGTGCTGATGATGCAAGATCTAGCCCTCTGCAAATACACGCGCGCAGCCACACTGAAATGCGCTCATAATGCCAGCCCTGTAACTAAGGGGCAGGCATGTATCTGCAGAAGGGGCGAGGGTAGTGTGAGGGGGGGGGGGAGATAAGCATTAACAGGGCTGAAGGGATCCAGGAAGACAGAAGGTTGCACTTTAGAACTAAAAATGAACTGAGGATGAGGTCATGCCTTGAAAAAAAGCACCTGACGTCACCCTCAGCCAATCAGAGAGGGAGGCTCAGGGGCAGGATGACGTCAGCCTCTGATCCTGGGGCTTTGGGTGCAGATTAAAGGGAGACAGGCAGGCAGAATTGCAGCTTAAAAGGGGCAATGGCCTAGATTTTCCTTCTTTGCCTCGTTCCCTTCCAGTTTTGCAAGCTCTTAAAAGGGAAATGCCCCAGCCTCGGTGGAGAAAGCTGGTGCAGAGATGCAGCACTGTAAAACAAGCCGCTCATTCTAAATCAATGTGGCATTTATTGTTGCAGGAGGGAAAGGGAGGGCTGGCTCATTTCAGCAGCGCACAGATAATCCCTGCTGCTCAGAAGGAGGAACTGGGAAAGATTTTTCCCTTGTGCCAAAGGCAAGACAAAGTTTAATTGGTTGGCTGCTGAATGAAGCAGGCTTAAGATTTTCACATCAGATGGAGTGATGTACCAAATGACCTCCAATACAAATGCATTCTTGTATCAAAAGCTTAGCGGTGCTTTTTATATATGGCAAAGAAGCACAAATGCTGGTTCTGATGACCAAGAGAAGGATAGATTTAGAAGATGAAGCAGTTCCAAAATCCATATTAGGGCAACACCCTTATTAGGCCAACCAAAATATCGCAAAATAGTATCTAAGCTACTGTCACATTTTGGTTGGCATAATAACAGAAGTATTGCCTGAGTGTGGATTTTGGAATTTTTCATGCTGGCCAACACGTATGAAAATGCCTTTACATTTTGTGTGACAAAGTAAGCAGTGTTAATAGTAATAACACACGTATTCTCATAGAATCATAGAGTTGTAAAGTTGGAAGGGACCCCAAGGATCATCTAGTCCAACCCCCTGCAATGCAGGAATCTCAGCTAAAGCATCCATGGCATATGGTCATCCAACCACTGCTTAAAAACCTCCAAGGATGGAGAGTCATAACCTTCCAATGTGGTGTATATTTATTTTAGCATAAGCTGTAATCAAATTCAACATATGGGCAAAACATATCCAGGACTGACATCTGAATAGCGAGCTTTCATAAACGCTGTCACCCTTTTAAGGCCTTTTTAGTCACCACCAGTCTTGTACTCCCTCCCCCAATTTTAACCAAAACCCAACCCCCCATTTGTCACAATTTTGCTCCTCCTGATTTTCCTTGATGAGGTGTGACATACTTTAGGGAGAGTCCCTTCTGTCACAGATACTCCAGTTAGTAACATTTTACCTGAGATTTCAACACATAATCCTTTAAGTCTATTAATCCAAAACCATAAGGAATGTAAGATAAGGAAAAGGGAATGTGGGGGAGTGTCTTCCTTAATTCCTCCCTTGTTCAGACTAAAGTTTTAATGCATGCCTGACTTTTCTCTCTATAAATTGGTAGGCTTTTGAACTGTGATATTCTTCCAAACCAAGAGCTTAAAGACAGAGAGAGAGAAAGAGAGAGAGAGAGAGAGAGAGAGAGAGAGAGAGAGAGAGAGAGTTTTGACATTTCCCTAATTTCCCTTGTGGTTGTTCTGAAGAGGTCCAGCTGAATTTTTTCCAGTTCCCTCTCCCCTGCCAGTGCAGGGTTTTATTGTCAACTGAATTGTTTGGGCATACCCAGTAGCCTACATGTGCAACATTTAATTAATTTGTCAAAGTTTCTAACAAATCCCCGTAGGGATTCCCCCCCCCCCCCAAGCAAGGGGTACATTTAATAGCTAGATCATTTAAATTTTATTAAGCTTGGGTACTTTACATGGGAAAATTAAAAACAACCCAACCCAAATTCTTCACAATTGTTTTGGGAAGAGCCTTTGCTATGAGGGTGTACCTCCTAAAGATGCAATGGCACAACATATTTGATTATTCGAGGATTTTCTGCAAGATGAGGGATGTTATAGACTCCCAACACTGAAATATGGCTCCCAGAGTTACCCATCTCAGTAATATCCTTTTATTGTAAGAACATGAGGAACAACCCAACCTCACTTCCAGATGTCCCTTTGCTTCCAGGTTCCTTGGTTTTTCTTCATTTCTCCCAGTGAATGCAGCTGGCCAGGTCCTGCTGAAGCAGAGGCCTAGTATAGACCGTGGCTCACAGCTTCAACAGAAGCTGGGTTTTCTAATCCTTAGGCCTAAAGTGCCCTTTCCCCACCCACAATTCCCTTAAGGTTTCCCCCCTTTAACAATATATAGCCCCTAGAGTCCAATGTGGCATCAACAATCTCTGTCCATCTGGCCAAAGACAAAAGTCTTTTCTGAGCTCATCAGTTTTTCCTGCATAATTGCGTTTTCAAAGATGAAAGGCTGTTCTCCCCTTGAAAGCTGAGGATGCTGTGGGTTGATCTCAGGAAGCGGGATAACGGGCAGGGACTCCATTTAGGGAAGTCAGGGAACATCATCCACCCACCTCTGTTTCAGAATAAGGTCAAAAACAATGATTTCTCAGGAACACCTATTTTTCTGGATTACTCACTACATACAGGTTGACTACTGTGATAAACCATTAAGTGGGCCTTTTTTCTTGACTCACATTTCAAAGGAATGAATCTTTTGACTCATGCTGAAGACACTGTTAAAGTTACTATAAGGTATAAAAATGTCGCTACAATTTAAAATACAGTCTTCTTGCCATAATTTAATCTTGAAATATATTTAAACTAGACAGAGACCCTTAATCCTTTCCCACTAACATCTATTTGCCTTCACCACAGCTGAAATCTGAAATGGTGGCCCTGAATATGGAATATCCTTGTGTGGTAGGTTCCAAAAGAGTAAGGATCAGGGACATTTGCTTTATTAACATGAAAAACAAATCAGGCACACCCTATATTTAATAAATATTTCTGTGTCTGTGCCATATCTTTTCAAACAAAATTATTTTTCAAGCTTGTGCAATATAAACACATAAACTGCTATGCAGGATCAGGTAAAATGCCTGGCCTTCAAGCACCTAGTTCAGAAAAACAAGCCACTGGACTAACTTGGAGTGAGTAAGACACACAATGCACGCAAGAGGCTGTCGATATGAGTTTGGACAGAGATGTAAGGGGAAAGCCTTTGATCTTTACCACTCACTTCTCCTTAATCGGGCATCAAAATCAGAAAAACACAGTTTGGGAGTGGCAAGAAGACAATGATTCACTCAAGTTTAGCAAATCCAAGGTGTTAAGAGACTGAGCTGGATAATGGGTTGTTCCCCTCTACTGTTGTCAATATCTGAAGGACTGTCTTCTCCTTCTGTTCAGGCCCTCTAATATTGGCAGACGGGTCCTCTTGGTAGTTCCACTGCCCTCAGAAGTGGGAGGAACGGCAGCCTAGGAAACAGCTTCCCTTGTGGCCAGGTTATTCTTTACCTCAATTCAAGCTGAGAGGAAATGCATTATTTCATAAGAAACACATTTCATAAGTACTGCGTTTTCTAAGAAACAACAGATAGATATGGATTGTGGCTAACATCTTGTGAACACTGCTTACGGAACCAGTAGTGGGAGTACCCTGGATGCAGAGTAAACAGGAGTGTGTGCACAACCTATGGGATGTGGGAGAGAGACTAGTTCCCCATTATTTGTCTGATTCCTGCCTGTTACTGTGGGTAAAAGGGTAGGAAACTTCTTTGCAGAGCTTACAGAAGGGGTTTCAGTTCCAGAAGCTCCCATTTGCATTAACATGACTGGTTCCCCTGCGCCAGACCTTTCAAAAGGTGAGTGAGAGCACCTTCTCTTTCAGATTCTGCCTGGTGGGGCTCAAACACTCCTCTCCTGCTTCCCAGTTCCTCTTTCCTACAGAGTGACGCTGTGTGAGTCACTGGAAGGGGTGGCTGTGTTTGCTGTCATCAGGGTGTGCCTGTGGTTCCCCCTGTTGAGTGTCTTGACCCTCCCTTGGCTTTATTTCTCTTTCTCTGGGTGGGTCTTTAACCTTTGCCCCAGAACTCTTGTCCTGGAAGCTGTGTGGGTGCTAGGCTCTGTGTCCTTCCTCCCCATTGTGTGTTTATCGTGCTCTAAAACACAACACATGAGCAGTGTAAGTAGACTTGAGATCCTTGCCTGAAGGATGCCTGGGGACTTGGAAGGACCAAGGTTGTGCCATTGGAGATGATCAGGAAGGAGAGTTCTTGTGGTGTTACTTTGCATGTGGTGGGCACGGGTTTGATATAGGGGTTTGTGATGGGGAGACTCCTCAATGTCATGGGTTCACTAGCTCCCTCCATGTGTGGGAAGTATGGGAGTGTTGTTGCTAGCACAATCCCTGACTAGTGAGACCTGGTAGTATTTCAAGGGACATAGAGGACTCGGATACATTAGTAAAAAAACTGTGTTTTGAATGAGTTATAAACATGCAACACCAGATGGTGCTGGAGAGCAAAGAAATTTCTTTGTGATTTTCCATAGAGTTCCCCCCCCCCAGGTATAGATCCACCCAGAGAGTGTGTATAACTCTGGCTGTGAATTTATCCCTTCACCTCCCAAACTGAGCATGCATATGACATGCCCTATCACAGAAGAACTGCTTTCTCCCATCTGGGATAACTGGTACATAGGATGGTTCCACCAGGGCTGTTAGACCCATGGCCTAAATGAAAAGGCAGAATTCCTCTAATTAGCCACAACTAGGCAAACAACTGTTGATGCTGCCACATTTATGCCCAGATCTGCCATGAGTGCTCTGTGCAATCTGGCTGGTCACTACTGTGGAAATCCATTTAATATAAAGATCTTGGGAAATGGACCTTGCTCGGATCCAGAAATGCAAGTCGTGTACTGTACAGTGGTACCTTCGGTTACAAACGCTTTGGGTTACGTGTTTTCGGGTTGTGGACTGCGGGAAACCCGGAAGTACTGGAAAGGGTTACTTCCGGGTTTCATCACTCGTGCATTGAAGAAGTGTCAAATCGCGCCACGCGCGTGCGCAGACATGGCGCTGCAGGTTACGAACGCTGCGGGTTGCAGACATGCCTCCATCACGGATTACGTC